CGCATCTCCCCACCAGTTTTGTTTCCCGCTTGACCCTCCAGGTTTCCTCGGCAGGAAACTTGCTCGGCCCAACTTTACGAGCACCCGGGGGCCTCCTCTCTTGGTCTGAAGCAAATGCACGCTGTGAAATCCACCCCGAGCGGGTTCCTTAAAAGAACCTCGCCAAGCACTGGAGGAGAAACGGACGGAAGGGCGATCCACGGGCTGAGAATATGCCCTTTCGAGGCGACCCCTGCCTTTCCCAGGGACCCCCCCAAACCAGACCAGAAGGGGCTCCCTGGCACTTTGGCGGTGCAAAGGGGTTTACGCCTTTCTCTGCTTCCGTCTAAGAACGCACGGCCAGCCCCTCTCCGCCACTGCTAGACCATAACAAGCCCCGCGAAGGAAAGTCGTCCGTTGGCATCTCTGTGCAAAAGCGTCAGGATCCTCGCCCTCTCACCTTGGCGGCCTCCATCGCTTCCACCATATCCACGGTCATGAGATTCATCCCCTTCAGCTCCACCTGGTAGACGGCCACCCGGCGCTCCAGGTCGTCCAGGGCGAAAGGGAGATGAGCCAATTCCTGGCAGAGACGGGGCAGACGGGCAGACCGAGGCGGAGAAACGTTTGGGCAACTTCAGCCGAGGAAGACAATGTGGAACCTCGCTGGCAAAGGGGGGGTTTGCGCCTCACCCACGAGGATCTGCCTCCCATCATCCCCTGGGGTCCTGAAATGCCCCCTCCTCTCCAGCCCGCCACTCACGTCTCTCAGCACGTCCATCATCCTCAGGTACAGGGACCTATTTTTTTCAGCCGTCCTGATCTTCACGTGCATCTTCTCAATGTCGTTCTCCAGCTGACGGATGATCTGCGGGGCGTCAAAAACAGGCCCCCAAACTAGGGCAAGCGCGACTCGGGGGGGGAATCATATGCCAGGGGGGTCTTTGCATCCATTCACCGCCCAAAGAGGGGCCCCTTTCTGCACAAACTGCCTTTCTGGGGATGCTTGAAAGAACGTGCATACAAACCCACCCACCATTAAAAGCTCCTTCCCTTCCTTGGGCTTTACAATCATCTGCAAGGTAGACCAGCCCGAGAGAGAGGAGGGGAGTCTCATGTGACTTTTGTGGGTCAGAGGTTTTTGACATTTTAATCTCTCCCTTTCAGACTCTTGTGCCACGGTGCCAGGGCTCAGAGAGAGGCCGCCATCTGGGCGGCCGAGGCACCTCCTGGGAAGGGAGCAAAGATGACAATTTGGTGGGACAAATACATTTCCCAGGAACTCCTAACGTATTTCCCAGACACCCTAAATGTATTTCCCAGACACCCTAAATACATTTCCCAGGGACCCTAAATGTATTTCCCAAGGACCCTAAATGTATTTCCCAGGGACCCTAAATGCATTTCCCAGACACCCTAAATGCATTTCCCAGGGACCCTAAATGCATTTCCCAGACACCCTAAATGTATTTCCCAGGGACCCTAAATGCATTTCCCAGACACCCTAAATGTATTTCCCAAGGACCCTAAATGTATTTCCCAGGGACCCTAAATGCATTTCCCAGACACCCTAAATGCATTTCCCAGACACCCTAAATGTATTTCCCAGGGACCCTAAATGCATTTCCCAGGGACCCTAAATGCATTTCCCAGGAACCCCAGACCAGAGAAGAAAGACAGGAATGCATTTTAATGAAACAAATGCATTTCCAGAGACAATCCTGCCCATTAAAGGCACCTCTCACAGCCCAGGGTTCACCTGCAGCTGGGCTTGAACCCGGGGATCCGCTGTTTCCAGATCGATCAGCTGCTGCAGCCTCAGCTGGAGATCTTCCAGGCGTTTCCCCCGCCGCTTCACTTCGTACAGCAGGACGTTGTGGGCGTTCATCCGGTCAAAGACGTAGCTGCTGAGCAGCTCCCGAGCTTGCTGGAGGAAGGAGGGAGGTGACCAGGGAGGTGACCAGAGGTGGGCAGCCGTGGGTCCCCCAAAAAGTCCATGGCACCTCAAAGTGGCTTTCCTTTGCCCTATTCTCCCCAAGGACCAGGCGTACATTTGTCTAACCCTCTTTGAAAGCTGTTCAAACCGTCAGCCCTCCTTGTTTCATGTGGCAAGGAGTTCCACAAATTGGAAAGCTTTTGTTTTTTGGCTCTAACTTTGGATCATCGTCCTGATTTCACAAGCTAAGCAGGTTCAGCCTTGGGCGTGACTTGCTGGACAGACCACCAGTTCAAGCTAGGACGGGACCATGCCTTACAACCTGGAGAGCCATGACTGTCAACACGGGTCTAGAAGGTCACTCAAGATAGCTTGATGGATTAGGTCTCCAGCTGCGGAGCCAGCGGTTGGGAGTTCGATTCCCCGCACTGGGCCTCCTTAGTGGGGGCTGGACTCCATGATCTTACAGGGTCCCCTTCCAGCCCTTGCCGTTCTAAGACATCCCACAGCAGGCACCCTCTCGTTACCTCCATGGAGTACTCGGACATAGTGGTTCTGAGGTATCTCCTCTCCCGGCAGGCCCTGTTGATGGTGACGTGGTCATACTGCAAAGAAGACGGGAGACACGGGGAGAGGAAGAGAGAGGGAGGAAGAGAGAGAAAAAGCTCTTGAGACCACCAAAGAGGGCCATTCAGGGCACGGGGGGGGGGCTCCCTGCTCTCCATGGTGCTGATTCAGGGTCCACCCAAATCAAGCCTACGGTTGAGTTTTTTTGGGGGGGAGGCCCTCCTTGACTCAGATTCTCTCTCTCGTCCCATTGAACCCAGTTCTGGGGAGGTGCCTCTCCCCCCCCACCCCGGCAGGCCATGAGTTAAGAGTCGCGAAACAGAGAAATCTCGCATCCCTTTTCTGTCTCTGCAGGCCCAACATGCCAGAACATCTTCTTTTTTTTTTAAAGGGGGAACTCGAACCAGCAGGATGCGGCCAGAAAGTTTCGGGTGGGGAGGAAGGCCACCCCCCCGCCAGGAAGCCGAGGAGGGCCAGATCCAGGCCCCCAAAGGGGCCCACCCCCCCTCCCCTTCGCTCACCTTCAGCGAAAGGTCCAGCTCATGCACCTCTTCCCGCAGGGCCCCCCGCATAAACCGGATCTGCTCCCTGTTCTTGGTGACCATCTCCTTGATGCCGTCGGCAAAAAGCAGCCTGGCTTGTTCTGCAACAGAGGGGCGGGTGTGGGGTGGGGGGGGAAGAGAGAGGGAATGTATGGGGTTTAGAAATGAATGCTCCGAGGTGAACGGCTTGTGATCGCCGGAAGGACAAATCCTGGGCCGGGGAGCATCTTTGACCTGACCGGCCAGCTCCACCCCTCCTGCCACCCCAAATTTCTCACCCTGTCTTTTTTATGAGATGCATTTGATCACAACACCAGAGGGGTTACCTTGGAGGCGGATGATGGCCCGCAGTTCCCGGATCTGGTCCTTGATGTCTTTTTTCCTGTGGAACTTCATGGCGGCAGAAAGTCGGGTTGACGTCCGGACGGGAAACCTGCGTGAGAAAGAGGGAGGAAAACGTGAAAGTGATACACACGCGCACACACACAGTCCTTGTGCTCCTTTGGCTCCAGCAGAATCTAGCCCTCGGGGTGGGATGGGGGGGGAGCCTTACATCACGGCGCTGTGACATCACACAGGCCATTGTGACGCCTCGCGGAGGTCGGGGTCTTAGAACTGGGTCCTTGTTCTGATCGGAATGGCCACCTAGAACTGGCCACCTGGCCCCTTCTCCCACCCAGGGGGGGCGGCTTGGATGTACAAGCAGGACCCCCCTTCCCTCGAAGAGATCCTTCCATGTCAGGAGAAGGAGGGACGGCCGTGGGGGCAGGCGGTGAGTTCAAGGGAGGCCCACCCTCCTCCCAGTCCCCCCACACACACCAGAGGTCTTCTCTGAGCATGCGCAAAGTGCAGCTCTCTGCCCTACCTTGGGTTTGGAACCCAAGCCTTGCTGGGCTGGGTTATCTTTTTCGACCATGGACCCAGAGAGCTAAAAGGGGATCCAAGCAGCAGAACAGTCTGGGGTCAACACACCCCACCCCGAAGGCCCCCTCCCAGGCTTTGAGGGTGTCCCGTAAAGATCGCGGCCCCCTTCCCCTTGGTCTGGTGGGGGCTGTTTTTGTGGGGCAACCAAGGACACTTCGGGATTTAGAATACGGACTTCATGGGACGAACGCCATGTCCCCTTCCTTTTTCTCTCTCTTTCTCCCACCGTTTGCACCCCCCAAACAATCATTAACTAAAGCAAACAGGAGGAAGTGGCCGGAAATATCAAGGGTTTTGAGGTTGCTCACCCCAGCTTGGACCTCTCTCTCTCTCTCTCTCTCTCTCTCTCTCTCTGCCGCTGTTTGCACCCCCCAATCATTAACAATCATTAACTAAAGCAAACAGGAGGAAGTGGCCGGAAATATCAAGGGTTTTGAGGTTGCTCACCCCAGCTTGGAAGCGGCTTGCAATAGGCAAAGATCACACTGGGGCTCTGTGTGTGTGTGTGTTTGCGGTAGTGATGGGCGGCTTTCTGGAAGTGGGTCTTTTTTCCTTATAGTGCCTTCCCTCCTTCCCTCGGGCCCAACCAGAGAGATAAACCTCCAGGACTCGAGACATCGTACAACTAAGCCGTCATTTGATCTGAAATCTGATTTGAGCCCTAGTGATGTCTGATGGAGGCCACTTTTGGTGCTGGGATATCAGGCTCACAAGAGAAGAAGATGACGGTGTTGCAGCCGAAAAAGCCATCCACTCGCTTCCAAATTACCGGCGGGAACAGCTTAGGCTGCGACAATCACACAACATCAGCACTCAAGGAAGCCTGTCTTCTAACAACAGGCTGTCTATAATGTAGAGCCGAGTGATTCCTTTCAGAATCTCAGTCCTTGAGCCACAGATTGAAATGGTTTTGGGGTTGGGGTGCCTGAGCAGGTGGGGGCATGGGACTGGGAGAGGGGGCTGAGGGGCTCCTTCCCGTTCCGCGCCCCCCTGGGCCCTTCTCTCTGCAGCTTGAAACACCTGGCTTCCCTAACTGGCAGAAGCAATGGGGGACCTCCCACCCATCCCAAGGGCATTCACCCTGCCCAGGGCCTAAAAAGGACCAAAGTCTGGATTGCTTCACCATCAAAAACAGCAGGACGACAACCTTTGTACTTCTAACCACTGGGGCAGACCCCTCAGTAGCCAAGCACAGAAAGAGAGACAGAAAGAGAGGGACGAACCCCAGAGGCAGTCATGAGGGTCCAGATGCTTCTCCTTGGCTCCGTCACCCTTGCCTTCTTCGCCCTGGCCGGAGGGAACCCCCTGGCAGCCACTGGGGCCGGCATCATCCCCATCCAGGAAAACTTCGACGAGGCGCGGGTACAGGGCTTGGGGGGTTAGGGTTGACCTATTGTGTAAGGGCAAGGGAGATCCCTGAGGACAGATCTTTTTGGGGGGGGTTACGGGATTTCGGACTACGACACCCAGAATCCCCTCCCGGCTGACCAGGGGGATTCTGGGAGTTGTAATCCCAGGGCATCGCCTCCCCGTGCGCTACTCATGGGGCAAAGAGGGGGCTTCAGCAGATCAAGTCTACGCCATGTTCCTTGAGGGCCGGAGGATGCTGGTTCCACCGTCGGGAGCAAATAAATCCAAGCGACCAATAAAGCGGAATGGCGTGGAATTAGTTGCGAGATATTAGAACAAGGAACGGGATGTTTTAAAACCACACACAGAGACACGGACGGGGAGGAGGCTGTACTTGGAAAGGGAATGGTCGGCTTGTTTTAAAAGACAGGTTGCTTCTGACCCTTCCCTTGCGTTTCTAGTTCTATGGGAAATGGTACGGGGTGGCGCTCGGCACCACCTGTCGCTGGATGAAACAGCACAAGGAGCGCTTCACGATGGGGACGACGGTGGTGGGTCCCGGCAAGACGCCCGAGGAGATCAGCTTAACCTCCACCAGGCTCAGGTAGGGTCTCTCTCTCTCTCTCAAAAGCCCCGAAACAGCATGTTTTTGGGTGTATGTCTTTTTGAAACAGCCCTTGGCAGTGACCTGGTACTCTGAGGTAGACTGCCCCTTCATCTAGAGGCTCCATTCCTAGCTGCCACGGACCTCTGGCAGCTTAGCGGAGCCCCACGGCCAGATCAAACCAAGGATCGGCTGTTTTCTGTCTAGCCTCCCTTCCTCTTGCCCTGGCCAGATTTACAGCACCCATAATCTCCAAGAGGTTGGTATTTGGGGAAGAGCAAAAATGTCTAAAGTTGGAAGAACGACAGACCTCCATGCGAGCCACCGCTGCCTAGCCACCCACTCATCCTCTCTCTCTCTCTCTCTCCTTGCAGGCAAGGGCTCTGTAGCCGGGTTACCGCCGATTATCAGAAGACCAGCACCCCGGGGAAAGTCACCTACTACAACTCCAGTAGGTTTTCAAAAAGAGGGTTCCCAGACCTGCATTTCCCCATCAAATCGTGAGGTTTGGTCTGTCCCCCAACTCCCCCTTTCGTCTTTCGCCCTAGAGTGGAAGGCGAACGTCGAAAACTTCGTGGTTCGCACCGACTACGACGAATACGCTTTTGTCGTGATGAAGAAAAACAGCAGCCACGGATTCACCACCACGGCCAAACTTTACGGTACGCGGACCCCCCGGGGTGGGTGGGCTTCTGCGTGGCGCTTTGCACCGAGGCAGAGGTGCCTTTCACGGCCCAGCTTTGGAGGCCGGGTCCTCTTGGAACCGGGGATGGCCGGCCCTCCGCTTTGCGATAGAAAAAAGGATCGGTTGATTTTGTTTGGGAGCATTGATCGAAATGGCGTGGGGACCCCCGGGAGAAATCATGGCCGTCATCGGCCGGGGGGTGGGTGGGATAAGACATCCACCAGTTGCTGACGAGCATCCTCTCCATGGTCCTTCTTCCTAGGACGGACTCCGGCGCTGCGGGAAGACCTCGTGGCTGAGTTCCGGCAGTTCGCTCTGGACCTCGGGATTCCTGAGGACTCCATTTTCCTCCTGATTAATACAGGCAAATGGGGGGGGGCTAATGAATTAGGGTGGTGGAGGGGGGGCAGGTTGTCTCTTAGGTGAGAGGGGAAGGGGCTCCCTCAATGGCTTCCCTTTCTCACCCTTTTAGAGGCTGGGTTCAGTTGGGGACCCCCTCCTCTCCCCTGCCTTCCCGTGACCTCTTCTCCGGCCACCCCCTCAACCCTGCCCCTCTCTCTCTTTAGGGGAATGTGTTCCCCCGGAGACCGAATCCGAACCACAGGTAGGTTGGGAAGGGGCTCTTTTCGGGTCACAGAAGCCCTGGGGGGGCTTGTCCTGCGTGGGGGCAGGGGTCACGCCCCAGGTGAGCCCCGGCCCACCCAGGACCTATTTGCCTCCGTCCTGGATTGTCAGTGTGCATCCCCAGGGGGAAAAAAGACCAAAGGGGCACAGGGGTTTATTGTGACCGTGAAACCATTCCCTAACCATGTGCCTCTCTTTTTCCGCCAGAGGCTTCGGAGGGCTGCGTTTTCAGAGGAGGAAGGGTCTGCTGACGGCGCCTTGCAAACCTTAGGGGGCAAAAAAGAAGGTGGGTTTCTCTCTCTCTCTCTCTCTGTTACAAGATCAGCAGCAAGGGTGGCAACACCTTGGCCAGACGGGTGCCTTCCGGGGGGACTACAACCCCCATCATCCCCCAGCCGCTGCCAACCGGGCCCTTTTCTCCTTCTCGGACTCGGGAGGGGCAGACGTGGGTCTCAACGGGGCAGACGTGACCATAAAGTGGCCTCGTCACCCATTGTGTGCCGTTCAATACAGAGTTTAAAGAAGATGACTTTTTAAAACTTTAACTCCCATCGTCCCCCAGCTGGCCATGCCGACTGGGGAGGGTCCAGAAAAGCAACTTCTCATAGGTGATGGACAGCCCCTTGAGGATCATGTCAGCGGGTGTGTGTTCCCCCCCCCCCATGTCTTTGAATGACATTTCAAAGATTGCAGGGGAAAGATGTGGCTGAGACCCTTTTGGGGTGCATTTGGAGCGGGATGGGAAAGGAGTGGGCCCCGAGGCCCTCAAGAGGGGAGCCCGTTGCTCACGGGCCCCTCCCTGGCCCTTGTCTCCCCCAGACGACTGCCGGGTCCCCATGCACCCGGGCCCCTGCTTGGGGATGATCATCCGGTATTTCTACAACACATCCTCCCAGATGTGCCAGGGCTTCGTCTACGGCGGGTGCCTCGGCTCCAGCAACAACTTTGCCACGGAGAGGGAGTGCCTTCAGACGTGCAGGACGGAGGGTAAGTGCCGGCGGAGCGTGGCCCCTTCAGCGCCCCCGTGGGCCAGGTTTACCCGGCCGCCCCCTGTCCCTGTCCACGCCAGACAGAAGCACCGGTTGACTGTAGCCAAGGTTCACCGTCCGTCCCCCGAAACTTTGAACACCTTCTCGCTCATGGATCGCTCTGGGGTTTGACGCTGTTTTAAACTTCCAGCTGTTGGTTTCGTTGCCCCTTCGTTGCTGCCGTTCAGCAAGCTTGCAATTTCTCGGTTTAAAAGGGCCTTAAAAGAACACCTTGAGCAACACACGTTGGAAAGTTCTTAAGCCACCGGCTCAAAAGGGCATCCAGAAAGCACTCAAAAGGTTCTGAAAGGGGTGCATGAAAACCGCCTTAAAGAAATAATCGGGGCAATTCCTCTCCTGCTCTGTCCCTTGCAGCCGCCTGCCGCCTCCCCATCGTCCCCGGGGGCCCCTGCAAAGCCGAATTCTGGGCCTTTGACGCCCAGCAAGGCAAGTGCGTCACCTTCAACGGCTGCGGGGGCAACGCGAACAAGTTCTACCTGGAGAAGGAGTGCAAGGAATACTGTGGTGTCCTCCCCGACGGTACGGCCCTTTCCCCTTTCAGCCGGGACAGGACGGAGGGAGGTTGATGCTGGGGGGGGGGCGGATAGAAAGAAGGCCACCCGCTTAATTACATGCAGGATCCTCGACAAGCTGGAGGATCATTTTAATGGCTGGAACCTGGGAGTTACAGTAAAACAGAAACGTTCTTGGTTCTGGGATAGACTGCCACTGGAAACAGAGGCTCTGTTTATGTACCACGAATCGCAGTTCACAGGGCCGGAGGCAGATTTTGCAACCCATTTGAGCTTTGGCTACCCCTCCCTATACCCAGATGCCCTTTGACCCTCCAGGTTTCAGGCAAGGGCACTCGGAGCCAGGCAGCTGGTGGGAACCGAAAACGTACCTCATAAGCCAGTAGAAATACTAGCCAGGCCCCCACGCGGCTTCTGAAATTTCTACTGGGGGCCATCGAAACACCAGTCTGTGCCAAAGTTTGAGAGGGTCAATGACTACTTCTCCCCAAATCCCCAGTTTTGGGAGCAATGGGCTGAAAGAGTATGTATTTTTCCATGTATAAGACTATACTTTTGTCTAAAATCCTTAGACTAAAAATTGAGGGTCTTATACAGGGAAGTAAGCTGAAGAGAGAAAAACAAGTGGAGGAGAAAGCAGGGATCAAAGCGATCCTGCAACACTTTGATCCCTTTCCCCCTACGCTTGCTAAGCCCCACTTAGATTTCTTGATTTTGGATTAGAAAAGTGGGGGAGCGTCTTATACGCAGAAAAATACAGGTAGCTCTCCGCAGTGCTGGCTGAGCCAGGCCTCTGCGCCCTGTGCTCTGCGCCCCAGCGGGATATAGGGCTGTGGGCAAGTTCCCCCCCCCAGTCACAACAGGCCAAGGGAGAGCTGGAGCCAGCAAAACTGGTTTCCAGCCCTCGGAGAAGCCAGCCAGACCGCTTGCCCCTTCCGATCCTCACCACGATGAACCCCACCTTTTCTTTTTGTTCCTTCTCCCTCTAGGGGATGATGAGTTCCTCCAGCTGGGATCACAGTGAGGCAGCCTTGCAAGGGCCAGAAGCTGCTGTTTTGGCCCCGTCACACCCCCCCCGGCAAAAACAAACCTAGAGAAGGACAAATCTAGAAACTGCAGGAGGTTGTGGCTCTCATTTCCACACCATGAGAGATTTGAGGGTGGAAATAAATAAATAAATACATTTCCAATTTGTTTTTTTGTGGGTCTGCATTGCTTGCTGCGTTTGCCAAGGGGGTCCCTCGTCTCCCCCTTGGTTTTTCTTTCTGTTACTGCGTGCTAAAAATGCTAATAATAAGCATACTAATTAACAAATTAAAAGCAGGAAAGAGGAAGAAGGGGGGAAAAGGAGAGGGGGAAATACACGGATATCTTCATTGCCCAGGTATGGGGCATTCACACGAACCGACCGAAAGCGTGACAGGCGGAAAGAGTTCCCTGGCGGATTCCCACCATCAGGGGGCGCCAGAGACCAGGTATTGAGGTCTCTTCGGAAGGTTGGGATTTGAATCTAGGGGCCCAGTCAGCACCACGCGCGCTTAAGCATCACAAGGCCGGTTCAGAAGCGACAGCCCCTCTGCGTCCGTAGCTGCTTTGCACATTTATTTATTTTTCTCTTTTATAGGGTATCTTTTCTAGTTTCGAGTTTTGCTCCCCTGGGCTGAAGGCCTTCTTCAAGTCTCTCCCCCCGCTCCGCTTTATCCTCACACACAACCCCATAAAGAAAGTTTGGTTCGGAGGGGGAGGGCGCGTCTCAAGGCTCCCCCGGGGCTCTAACCCCTGGACCACGCAGCCTCTCCCGGGGCGCCTCGTGGGGCTGGTGGGTAGATGCCCCAGAGTGGGGGGGTGAGGCTGGTGCCCTATCCTCGCCCCCCGCCCCCCGGATTCCAGGCAAAGCCTTTTTCGCGGTTGTCTTCCTGGGTTTCACTCTGGCACCGAAGGGGTTAAAAAGGAATCCCCCCCCTTAATATTCCCGGGACTGATTCTCCCCCCCCCAAAAAAATGCTTTTTCCAAGGTCTATACCGAGAAACTAGTTCTGTGCCTCCAGACGCGGGCTGGCGGATGCTGGGACTTGTAGTCCAAGATGGGCCAACTTGTAGTCCAAGAAGGGCCACGTTCCCCCCCTCCTCCAAGATCGGCTTTTTTTTTCATGGGGGTGCAATTAAGACGCCTCTGAGCAGCCCATGAGCCGCGGCGGGGCGGCTGATGAACCTGGAAACCTACGGGCACAAACCAGCCTGCCTTTTTGCTGCCTGCCTGCCTGGCCAACAAGTTACTAGTCCTCAAAGAGGCTGCCTTTAGCCCCGGAGCCTGCCTCCCTCCCTGGCTTTGGTCCTCAGAGAAGAGGGAGTGTTTGAGTGCCCCTGGGGGGGGTGATCAAGCGTGGGTTAACCCAAGGGGGGGTCAGAGGAGCCCCTCTGCACAGGAAAGGGGGGTCCCTCTCCTCCTCCTCCATCATCACAGCAGCTCAGAGCCTCTCCCCTCCCGATATCGGGGGGGGGGCTGGGGGCTCCTGCAGCAATTAAA